TCTTGTTCGTAAGAAAATTCGTTAGCCTTAATGAATATGAAGTGATCTGGAAAAGTGAGAGACCAATTCATAATTGGACAGTGATAAATATTCTTTCTAATTTTGCTGATACCAGTGTTCACAAATACAGATAATATCAATGTTATGAAGTTGTGCTGTTGCCCAGTTCTATCAATTTATTGCACAACACTGAGTGTTGATATGAAAGAAAACTGTCATTTTCATTGATGAAAGAATATAATTCTATTCAAAATTTTTATAAAACTGACAGTTACCAGTATACTCGTAATGCAATGTGCATAAAATGTCACTTTCATTCTAGTCTAATATTTCATCAGAGAATTTATTCAGCAAATAATAAGCTTTATCCAATAATAAGTGTTTCACAGCCCTTCTGAAAAGTATATCTACAGTTAGGGAACGAATACCCACTGGCAGGTGACTGAATATCTTTTAGCATTGTATATAATTGACCTTTTTGTTAGGGTACTATCAGGTGGTGAATAATGGTTTTCAAGGATCCCTTCTCTTGAGTTTCGGACCACAAACATATCCTAGATGTTGGAGAATAAATACAGAGTTCAGTAAAATCTGTGAGCTGCTTTCTCAGCAATAGATTCCATATCTCAGTTTTGTTTCTATAAATGGAAAATATACTTGTCTCGATACAAACGCATTCAATTCATTTGAAATAATCTGAGTCGCAAAGCATCCTGATGCCAGTTTTTTGCATAAATTCAATATGTGTTTATCAAGTGTATGCTCCATACAGGATGTGCAATTCATATATCTTATAAACAGTATATTACATCTGATTTATGGTTCAATGGTTCATTTTCAGGGGAGAACGAAAGCAGTTGGTAATGTAGTGCGAATAATTAACCAAACAACACCGACACATCAAGGAAACCGTGTCAAACAAAACAAACCACAAAAATATGGAAGTGGTCAATCATCACAAAGGAATGTTCATCAGTTGAATCGAAATGAAAATGTACAAGAGGTTAGTATAATTGTATTATTGCATTTGTTTCATACCGAGATTGTTACCTATGGACAGTTTTTGTTCTCAATAACCAAAGTAACAAGTAACAACCTATTGTTCTACATTACCTGTCCATAATATCAATAAACTCAATTCATTTTTTTATAAGAAATCACTATGTGAGTCAGTATCTAATGTCATTAGTTTTGGTAATAATGTAATCATGTTTATTGAAACGTTTCATTCAATGGGGATTTTTCCAAGTTTTGAATTGTATGTCGACACAACCATGATATCGAGAGTACTATAGTTGGTTTCGAATCGTTTTACCCATTGATATGCCTCCATAATTCAATTCTGAAATTTCGAATATAATAGGGAAATTATTTTGATGACATAGAAGGATACCGATGTTATTTCACAATCTGGCAAAAAAGTAATTGTCAACTACGCATTTTTATGCAGTGTATCATCCAATATTTGTTTACTATTTTAGTTTATATTCATTATAAAAATACTTATATTTTACAAGGAATTGAATGAGAATTAGAATTCATCTTAGATTTTTTCTCTTATCAATATTAAGTTACTCTTCTGACGCACATTTCACCAACTTGTTTGTTGAAAGTATTGCATTTCTGGTGATTGGGAAAGGTGCTTATTTTGGATTTATTTTACGCCAGAGGTTCTTTATATTTTTTATATATTCACATTATCTGCCAATGATACAAAATGGTAAATGAAGACAATAAAAATTTCTAAATGGTGCGAATGCAATATTAATATTGAAAAAAACTGATTTGAATACTTCCAAATGTATGCCTAATGGTTCAAATCGTGGTGTAGGTATGATTGAAAATAACATTTATTATTATATGCTTAGAACTATATGTCGATAGTAAGCTAAAATTTGACGAAAATATATCAGCCTCAAGGTCCAAAGTTTATTTATGGCGACTTTTACAAACCTTTATAAAAAGAACTTGGAATAACAAGGGTGAAAAAAGTTATTGATGAATTTACATCATTTAGGATGAATCTTTAAATTGGTATCTGCATATTGATGGGGTTTGCAAAAAACTTAATGCAGCATTTTTCACAATTAGGCAAATGGAATTGCTTGTAGATAAAAAATATCTCTTGAGTATATATTTTGCAATGGCATATCCGCATATTTCCTTAAATATAATGTCATGGGATGTCAGTTACAGCACCACTCCGAAAAAATCATAACTCATAGACAGTAACAGTTGAAAATGTGAAATTTCACAGAATCACACCTTAAGCATCAAGTCATGAACAAGTCCATCGAATTTTTGAAAATAATTTACAAGGTGGTCGAAATCTCCACCTAAAACATAACATCGAGAAAACTGATGAAACACGATTTTTTCAAATGGAAACCATACACTACTATTCTATTATTTTTGGATACCACGAAAAAAAAAGATAACAAATTCATGAAGAATGTCCTTTACTTAAAATACACCCCTGGCAAGATATATCCAATTTTGGGAAATATTTGAAATGTAAATGATTCAAAGCAATACCAAACCAAAAAAGCTTTGAAAACAAATGAAGTTACAACAAATATGTCAAAATTTGATGCGATATGATTGACGTGTATTTCGTAGTTTTGTATTTGTGTGCAAAATGTCTCGTTTGGGGTATTCTAATGAAGATTTCCTAAATATTATTTATGGTGAATGCAATAAGATAATGGACAGAACTTGTCGTGTTTTTGCAGAAAGATTTCCAAATGTACACAGACCCAATAAAAATATTCTGAGAATACTTCTAAGAAACTGCCGTGATTTCGGATCTTTTTCGTCTGTCATAAACAAAAAAAAAACACCCGTAAACAATGAGGAAATCGAAGTTGTAGTTTTAGCCTACTCCACAGCCTATCCAGAAACTTCGTTGAAAGACGCAGAAAAGTCACCTAGAATTTCATATTCGTCAATAAACCGGATTTTAATCAAACATAAGTGGCGTCCCTTTAAATATCACCAGGTTCAAAATCTGAAACCTCACAACTTACCTGCACGAGTGGAATTCTGCGAATGGTTTCTTATCAAGATACAGGAGGACCCTGAGTTCATGAAGAACATGATATGGACAGATGAAGCCAAATTTGCCAAGACTGGTATGTACAACCGTCATAATAGTCATTTTTGGGCGGCAGAAAATCCAAAGCTCGTTCGCCAGCGCAACTTCCAGGATTCATGGAGTTTTAATGTTTTTTGCGCTATAAAGGAAGACCGAATTTTATGTTTATATCTTTAAGACTAGAATTTGAATAGCGATAGATATTTGCATATAATTAGGAATGTGGTTGGTGAATCCATTAGGCAAGTTTCTGAACAATACCGTTTCAAGTTATGGTATCAGATGGATGGTGCCCCTGCACATAGTACTGATACCGTTGCTGGGTTGTTGAATGGGATGTTCGAAGATCAGTGGCTTTGCTACAATGGATCATTTAAATTACCTTCTCGCTCTCCAGACCTAACGCCTGACTTCTTCATCTGGAGATATATCAAAGAAAATGTTCATGCGGATCCTGTGGGTGATAAAGAAAACATGAAACGAAGGGTTCTGAGAGCTTTCAATAATTTGATTCCTGACTCCATACAGAAAGCTACAAATAGTGGTATGCAAAAAAGAATATATTCTTGTTTAGAACAAAACAGCGTTGTCTTTGAACATCTGTTGAAATGAAGCACACTATTATTTAAAGTTAAAGAAATTAAGTTAAATTCTAAAATTAAAGTGAAATCTAACCTTGAAAAATATAAACAAAATAAAATTACTGTATTCGATATCAATAAACAAAGATATAATTCATCTCTGTGATAGCATTTTATTTCAACCCATCCATTTTCATGTTGAGTTACCTTTTACCAAGGACAGAGTTAATATTAGTTCATTTGTTTTCTAAGCTTTCTTTGTCTTCGTGAAAGATTTATTAATATTTTTATATGTATGTGATTTGATCATAATTACTGAATTTATAATATCTAACTAGCAACTCATAATTTGTTATTTTCATATTTCTAACTATCGTCTATATAAATTTTGTAGACTTTGTCAATAAGAACATCTTGAAACAATAAAATAAATTTAATTATTTCATTGTCAATATTTCTGAGTATTTTGAATTTTTCTTTGATTATTTCATGTTATGTTTTGTGATCAGTTTTCAGAAGTGGAATCAGCACAAGAGAACACGTTGGATGTATCAGCAGACAAACGAGAGATTTCAATTCATAAATCTTTGATTAAGAAAGGACGTAGTCGTAGAGGCGGAAGAGGCAAGCCACACAATTCAAATCTGTCTGTTGTCAAACCCCTTCCAGATGTTACTAATATCACTCCATTATCGGCTGCGAATAGAAATCAAACGAAAGTGCAATAAACATGAAAATTTTATGTTTCTTAACTCAATAGATCCAATTATTTTATAATATTAGTAGGTAAATCAGGTAATATGGAGTGTTTTATATGTTTTATTTATTTGACATGATTATGTTTTCATGTGTTGAATGGTTTTAAAAACAAAATATGAAAATACTTTTCTACAAAATTAGTCTATAGTTGGAAATATATTTCATTTAATAATTTCTCCAATGAGAAAATTGTTTTTATTTATGTATCTGCAGAGTAAACCTTCCTTCCAAAAACAAATGAGACCTTTCTGGCCTGTTTTACTTCCAAGGCCAGGAAAAACTGCAACATCTACTGAATATAGATCTATAATACTTGTTAAACGTGATATTAAATATTTAGTATATTGTAAAATACTGACAAGTAAAGTTATAAGTTGGGGCGTATTCAAATCCTCTCAAGTGGAGCAAACAAAAGAAGAAATAAAAAAGGATATGAATATTGAAATGGAATATGAAATGTAAATTTGAAAGTTGTTTAGAGAATTTCAAGAATCTGTCCGTTCGAAGGAAAAGGTTGCAAATCGATTCTGAGCAATAAAAACTGAAGCAAGGTGCTGCAATTCAAGCACGACATGGAGGACTTGATTGCAAAACTGATGGATAGGGGACAAAGAACACGTAATAATATTTTCAATGTCAATGAATTCACATGAGTAGAGCGTAATGCTGAGGACACTTCTCAGTATGAATATAATTTTAAAAGGCTCTAATATAAACAAACAAGGTTTTAAATGATTTAGCAGGACAATAAAAATTGAATTCTCCGGATGATGTGATCTATGTACTTAGAAATAAGCCTGCAGATTTGCTGAGTACTATAATTGTGTCAGAATAAACAAGAATGCAGCAAGAATATAAAAACTTAAAGAGAAAGTTTGATGAGTCTATTAGAAATGGATATTTTTTTTTAAATGAACAGAACAATAAACCTAATATTGTCAATAAAGTTAGCTATCAACAACCTAAAAATCAAGTGTGTACCCTGATAATACAATTCAATGTTGACGTTATTTACTTAAACACTCGATAAAATGGACCAAATCTGTAATAGTATTCAATATTTTGGGCCAAAATTAATTTTAGTTTATGAAACGAGAATAACTGATGAAATCGAGAATTCAGAAATTAAAATAAATTATTACAATTTGGTCAGGTGTGATTCCAGGGATCTGCATACAGGAAGTGTCGTCATGAATGTTGAATCAAATATTAATCACTCTGATGTAAAACATTTAAAGTAGATATTGGCCCCAGTCAATTTTTGATAGGCTGTATCATTTGCCTCCAAGCTCCTAGCAATTTTTTTGGAAATTTCGAAAATAATTTATTTGAGTTACTTTTGAACTGTAAATGACGTATCTTGGTTGGTTATTTTTAACTCCAAAATATTTTTGTGAAGTGATGGTTTCTATACAATTAATTTCAAAAATATCCTTTTGCGATATGGAATAAGTAAATCAATAACCGAACCTACCAGAATAATTAATGATAGTGAAACTCTGATAGATTGTGTTCTAGTTAATCGCAAAAATATCTCTGCTCAAGTCCATGCTACACCAAAAATAAGTAATCATTCTTTGATCACCATTAATGGTGATATGGAATAAATAAATCAATAACCGAACCTACCAGAATAATTAATGATAGTGAAACTCCGATAGATTGTGTTCTAGTTAATCGTAAAAATATCTCTGCTCAAGTCTATGCTACACCAAAAATAAGCGATCATTCTTTGATCACCATTATTGGTGATATGGAATAAATAAATTAATAATCAGACCTACCAGAATAACTAATGATAGTGAAACTCTGATAGATTGTGCTCCAGTTAATCGTAAAAATATCTCTTCTCAAGTCTATGCTACACCAAAAATAAGCGATCATTCTTTGATCTCTATTAATGTATTTAAAAGCAGTTAATAAATTACTCTAGTAAAAAAATGTAGGAATTCTAATAAAAATAATATAGATAAAATTGAACTTTTTTTTATGACGTGCAACTGGAATTCAGATTCAAATGATGCTATTAGGTTGTTTCAAAAGTTTTGTCCGTTTTAATATCGTGTATTTTTGTAGCTCATATCAATAAATATTTATTGTACGTGTCGTATATAATGATCAGTAGAGAATACACTCTCTACATTGTTCGTTTTATCAAATTTCAATATTTTTTACCTCTTTTCAGCTTATTATGATGTCATTATGCGATTTTCAGCCAATTTTTCTCTATGAATTCAAATTGAACCTAAGCGCTGCTGAAACAGTCCGAAAAATTAAACAGTCATTTGGCAATGATGGTGTTAAGAATGCACTGTTTGACGTTTGCTTGCGAAATTTCGTTCCAGAGATTTCAGCCTCGAAGATGAGCCCCGAAGTGATCGACCTACAGTAATTCAGGACGAGGATTTGAGGACCCTGGTGGGATGCGTTGCGTGGGCGTTGGCTCTCATGAGGTTTTTGATGGGGTAAAACGTATTGGAAAGGTAAAGAAGCTCGAAAAGTGTGTGCCCCACGATTTGAACGATCGATAGAAATTGTCACTTTTCAAAGTCTATTCTCCTTCGCTTTCACTCACCCAAAACGATCCTTTTTTTAATCGGATCGTCACGTGTGATGAAAAGTGAATCCTCCATTACAACAGGAAACATTCAGGACAGTGATTGGACACAGATGAGCCGCCCAGGTACTTCCCAAAGGCGAAAACCCACCACAAAAGACCATGGTTCCTGTACGGTGGTCGCTGGTATGATTCACTATAACTTTCTGCAACTGGGCCAAACTATCACAGCCTTCTATTGTGAGGATATCGATGAAATGTACAAAACTTTGCGTCAGCAGCAGCCGGCACTGGTCAACAGAAGAAATACCTCTTCAATATTTTTTTGACTCCTTCAAGCTTCTTTTGAAATTTCCTTCAAGCTTTTCTTCAAGTTTCCTTTCAACCCCATCAAACTTCTCATCGTCTATTTGTTCCAATCCCTTCTTTGTTTCCTGAAATACTTTTTCAAATTATTCCCGAATCAATTCCTGTACCTCCCCTTTACTCACCTGGGAAGGTTTCAAATCTTCAAATAAATGAAGGTACATATTATTGTCTTTTTCTTGTTTCTTCTGAATATTTACCAATAAGTTACGATCTTCCTCTGTTTCTTTCTTGTTTTTCCAGAATATCTAGTAGTAAATCACGATATTCCTGTCGGCGTAATCGTTCTTCCTCTCTTCTGCGTTCATCTTCCTCGCTTCTGCGTTTTTCATTCTCCGCCAGGCTCGCTTGCAAAGCCTCGAACATTTTCTTAAGCTCTTCCATCTCGTCGTAATCGACACTCTTTGTTTTCACCATAAAACAGAAAATTTTCAGTCTATTATTCCACTTCCGACACCAAATGATACGTTTTTACCCGTGGGTTGACCAATAATTAACTACACTGAATAATCAAACTTAACTTTATTTCACATTAAATACAACAAGCACTTCAACTAAACTATAACTATTATAGCCACGAGCAGATCACTGCTGTTCGTGGCTAGCGTTAAAATATCATGATCGAAAGCCGTAGAAATTTCGTCGAAATTCCGTCGATATCGGCAGCATTATTCTCGCTGATTCTAGAGCGGCAGGGAACATTGTGCATTCGCGCGCTCTTAGCTACGTCACGTTTGGTTTATGGTTACCAGTGGTGGCTGGCGTTATTTTCTTTTGGGCACGATTTACAACAATACCAAATGCACTATAATACCTGTGCCTAAAATGAAGAACACAAATAAATCTGCAGAATACTGACCTATGAATACATTATCTTCGTTAGATAAGATTTTAGAAATGACTTGTTTATCAAATTTTGGAATTTGTTGAAAACAGTGAAATATTACTAAATAATCAATCTGAATTCAGAAAAAAACTCATGTGGCATAGCACTGCCACTTGCCTTGAGTATTTCCAAAAAATTAGTTGATGATGAAAAATACGTACCTAGTTGTAGTATTTTTAAATCTAAAGAGATAATTCGAAATCATGACTCTTAGATTATCTTGACTTATTTGAGGGAGTATGATATTAATGGTAGTATTTGGAAATGGGTGACAAATCATTTGAATGCAAGAACATGAAAAGTAAAAGTTGATGATATGTGTTTTACTGAGGTTGAAATGAATAGCGGTGTACCGCAGGATAGTGATTACGGCTACTTTTAGTTTATTCTATATTTAAATATTAATTTTTGGGTCGAATGTTATTTTATACATCTTTGCAGATGATACACTCCTTGCTTGTTTTGATGTCAGTTTAGATGATGCTATCCAAAGATATTTAAGTGTACACTTGAAAATGTGAGTAAATATTGGAAGACAAATAGATTGAAACATAACATAGGTAAAACAAAACCTATAATTATGACATCCAAGCATACATATAACAATATAGATGTTAAAATGAATATTGGTAATGAAAAAAATCAATATTGTAATCAATATGAAATATCTTGGGTTCCAGTTAAATAATTTGAAACTTCTAAATGATCACGTCAGTTACATTTATAAAAAAAAACTAAAAAAACTTCACCTTTTCTCCAGAATAAGCAAAGATTAAACAATGCAAACCAAGATTCTAGTGAACCAATCTAAAAGACAACCTCATTTTGATTACTGCTCATTCATACTGCACTTCTTAAATCGCCATCTGCCAGCGGAGTTACCAACACAACTCAATGAAATCATTGAAAATCGAAGTTTTTATAGAATACAATTGTTGCTGTTGATATACTAACAGCTATCTGCTCTTAGTTTTTCCTTTTCCTGATGGAATACAATCCTCTCTACTTGGGATTGGGGCTGTGTAAGACAGTTCGTAGTTGTCATTTGGAGGCATTATTGAGTCCACGGTTATTTCCAGAATGTTGTGGCTTTCAGTATCAAACAGTAGTCTGCTATGTTCCGCATAGGTCTATTTTGTACAATTAGTAACAGCACAATTCTGTATGTTATCCATATAGCCTCTTCAGGAAGATGTGGAGAGAAGGCAGGTCCAGAAAAATGTCCATGTCCGCTAACGGTGTGGTGCTGATGGCATCAAAGATAGCCACGCTAGCCTGTCTCTGAACGTCAGAAAGCTTCGCCTGAGCCTTTTACTATATAGCATTTGGCCACAAGGTAATTGCTTCATTAATAACGTCTAATCCCCAAGACTTTCCACAAATTCTTCAACATGTATTCAGGTCCCTAAGATATGACTTTAAGTAGAATCTTTTCAAGTGAGTGTTCCAGGTGAGTTCCTTATCAAAGATAACAACTAAACATTTCATTTTCATTGCAAATGAAATTACCTCATCATAAAAGGAAATTGGAGTTGAATGATGCTAATTTGTCTTTCTGGTGAAGAGGACTATCATAGTTTTGCAGGGACACCAACTATGAACGTCGTCCAACATTCATTGAAGGATATTAAGGCTACTCTTCCTGACATGGTCCTTGAAAGGATGACAAGGTTATCTGCATAAGCTTGCCTATCTATTTCTCTTCTGTCAAAGATTTCAAACAGACTATCCATCAGGAGATACCACAGAAGGGAAATAGTACCTCACTCGATGGCCTCATCTTGAAAAGTCATAGTTGCTGTTCTGTTTTCGAGCATGGCTCAGATCTAGCCTATTTTTCAGCCAAGGCTGATCCAATAAATTGAGCTAGTGTATTGTCAAATGCTCCTTTGATATCAAGATGTAAGTTTAATAAGCATACACTGGGGGGGGATACATATAAAGCGATCTTCCTGATATGTCTGTTCAGTATCTTCTTAAGCCAACTATGTGTAGTATGTAATTCCACGCCAGACTAGCTCTATACAGTTTTTGTGAATGGGTAAAAGTATTTCCACCCTTCAACAGGGTACCAAGCGACCTAGAAAACTCAGGAAAAATTAAAAATCTTTCAAAGTCAGTGAGTTACAACCTGATACAATACTCTGGGAATTTTCAATTGTTTTTGAAAGTCTCAATAATTATAGTAGTATTTATATCGAAAATATTTAAATTAGTAGTGGCAGTGTTGTATTCAGTCGTAAACATGGCACATTGAAAAATTAAGATCTCTGTTTAAATTCTGTTTTTCTGTTAACCAGCTGTCACCCCCAAAATTCGAAACTTGCCGAAAGAAGGATTAATGAGGTCTCGTCTTTTAACGTGCGATTCTTCGCACGGGTTGGACAGTAAGCAGTGAAAATGAATCGTCCGGCCTCGCGGGTTGAACCACCGTTTCACCTGACGGTCGACTGAATAAGTGGAACAAACCACTCAGGCCAACCCAACCGGCTATATCGCAAAACGCATATTTACGAGATAAGTCGAAAAAAAGACTTCATTCCAATCCAAGCAAAATCTCTATATGAACGTAGCATACTACGAGTATCTATACTGGAATAAAATTTTATAATAACCCTCCAGAAAACATAAAAAATATTGTGGTTGCTAACAGATTTCTGAAGTCCTGAACCAGCTCTGGGGGTACCAAAATCAGTGGTACAAAACCAGATTAGGACATGGACCAATACGAAGCACACAGAGTACTGGACAAAAGTACCTGTCAACAAACACAGTAGAACCTTCATTAGGGAACCGTCCGAGAAAAGAACCGAAGAACTACTTCAATATAGTAGAGATCGGCTCAGAATAATTACAGGGTTATTAACCGGTCATTGTCCGCTTAGAGAACACCTGAATAAAATAGGACTGTACAACAGAGACAGTTGCAGATTATGCAACGAAGGGATAGAAATAGCTCTACACATTTCATGCGAATGTAAGGCACTGAATCACAAGAGGCAGGCAATATATGGACGTACTGAATTACGTCCAGAAGAATATGACGAACATCCAACGAACCTGTACAAACTAGTACAGGGAACGAGACTGATGGAATGGGTGTCATGAGAAGATGGGAGAATAAACGTAATAAGCCCAAGAGGCTGCAGCGTTTTCTGGAGACTTGGACTATAAAATAAATGGACAAGTCAGACAGCTCCCAAGGGACCAAAAAAAAACAGATTTCTGAAATCTGTAAGAGAATTCTTATGTAATCTAGTGCCCTCTACAATAGGTACTGATGAATATTTTCTGGCCTATAGAAATTTATGAATCAAATTTTAGTGAAAATTTCACACCTATAATTTTGAAGTAATCAAAATACGTTATTTTGACAAATCATCATGGCAATGGAGATATTTTAGTGGATTTTTTTTCTTCTGGGATACTCAACAGCGAATTAGGTATACTGGAAATTTTTTGACGTTTACAATAACAGACTATTTTGGCAGGTTGGTTTTTGTTTATTCACATAATATTTAGTTCTGATACATTGTTGGGAATGGAAAAATAAATTTTAAAAACATTTGATTTTCCACCACAATTCGGTGTGGAATTTTCTTACCGAATACCATGCGAGGTCACAAATGAATATCCGGAATTTTTTTCTCGCTCATGAATATTTTTAGACAATGTCCCTCGTCTGCCAGTATGTATAGTTGGTAATTAGTAAAACTATTTTCTAGTTTACTAAAATTTATTTTCATTCATACATAAAGCAAAAAAACAGATTCATAGTCATCTATTAGAATTGTAAGTTTTATGCATATAAACAAAATGTAAAAATATAAGGCATAATATATTCAAAACCGAAATACTTGAACAAACTAGTAACCTTACTGCTGGGGCAAATATAGTTCCTGAAAATACCAAAATCAATCGAATAGTGCTGAATCCTCCAAAAATTATCAGACACATGAAATAAAAAAGATTGTTATCTTCTTGAAAAAAAATGAAAGATATTAATAGAGTGAGAAAGTGACCGTAGTAGGAATATCCAATCAATGAAACAGTTTCGTAAAATGTTATGGTAGATTGACCTAACTTACACAGCATATAGGAAACTATTGGCATTAGAATAGAATACTGAGTTAAGAATTCCAAGGGAGTTATATTGTTTTGGACTAGTTTGAAAGTATTTCCATAGGATACAAAACTTGTTAACAATATGAATCCTATAAGTGGCCCCATTAGATCAACATAAACTCGTTTATATCTACTAACAGGTGGTACAAAAGATTCAAATATTCTGAGAAGAATATCCTTAGGAGAAACGATAAATAAATCCAATAAATTATTTGGCACCTTATCTCTTCCATGTGACACAATGAAATGAACTGAGGACCTCATATTTACAAAAAGTCTATTTTCAATTTTGATTTATGTTACTTCATTTTTCTCTTTATGTTTTCTTGTGCCTGCTTCAACTGATTTTGAAAGTTAGCCGCCACTTCACTCATCAATGCTCTAAATTGTTCAGGAGATAATTTTTCACGTAATCTGTGTTCTTCTATCAAATTTTTACTAGAAAACATCACTCGTACCACTACCTGGGCAGCTCTACGCATTGGATAGGATTCGCTCAATTTCTGAACTAGCTGCTCATTATTAGCCAAAATTCGAATCAAGAAACGAAAAACCATGCTTTTCAAGATTTCTGAATGTCGAATGGGTACATATAGTGGTATTTTTGTAGTAGCTCCTGTTTCAATCTCAGCTGGGTTTTCAATGCATCCAAATGATTGAGTTGTTGTTCCTTACTATATTCAATACCAGGGAGCATACGTATCTGGAAATACTATACTATCAGAACCACCTATTCTCTAAACAAAATTAATTATAAGTTATACCTCTGCTCTAGCTTTATCTAATCTTTTTTGTAACTCCAAAACTTTCTGAGAACAATCTTGGGAATCTCTCGTCTTCGATGTATTATCGTGATGATTATCCTTTTCGATACTGGAATTTATGTAATACTTGGTGTCAGTGTCAACAGTTATTAAAAATAGTGGAACAAATGTCACTGAGTAAAACTAACCTTACCTTTTGATTATCTCATAAATTATCTGCAGAATATCGATATTAAGATCCTCTACGTTCAATACTTTTTTAATACCTTCTATATTGTGTTCCTCTGAATCCATAATACATTTACTTATCAGTATTTTTATCGTACCGGAATTCCGCTACTGTAGCATAATTTACTCGATGGTAGCGGCGTAGCGGATTTGAACATAAAGTAGCAGATTTTCTACAAATAATTCTTCTTCTTCTTCTATTTAATTTTGGTCCCAGCTTCCAGATGGCGCTATTATGACCAGTACTCCTCCTATCAGAGTACTCCTCCTATCCTACCTACTATATCCAAATGGACAAATACCACAACCCAAAACAGGAGTCATGCTCAACAGGATTGCTAACACAAAAGCGGGAACTTCTCAATCTACTTTTAATGTTTTACATCATCCGAACGAGGAATATAAAATTATTAAAAAAATGAAAGATTTACTTTCGGAACTTCCCGAAAGTATTAAACCAAAAATAATTAGTTTATTAAACACGTATGAATGGTTGAAAAATTCCCAACATCCTGACGAAACGAGTCAGGATGAATACTAATTAATTAAATCAATCTAACAAAGGGGAATAGAGCGATCTTATGAACGAACTATACGAACTAGTTCGCAGACCCGTCGCTCCTTAGTTCGTTAGTTCGACGGCACTGAGGCGAGAAATCAAGAGCGCGGCGCGGCGCCACTGTATAGTATAGTTACTGTTAAAATAAAACCAAGACTGTTATGTTTTTTATGATAAGAAAATGTCAAAATTTATTTTTAAGTGGGTAAGAACATATCAGTTTTTCTGTGTCATCATTAGTAGAAAGATAAATACAAATTAATATGTACTAGATAGGTACTAATTCCAGAGATTAAAAGTTGATTATTTACAAACAGGTATTGTCGTTGATTTTTACCTAAATAAATTGTTGATCAACGCAAGTGAATAAGACAACAAGTAGGTCTTTCGCGACTTGAAGAAGGAAACTAACGAACTAAAAGATCGAACTAGTTCGTTTAAGAGCTGCGAACTAAAATGAGCGCTCCCGCTCGTGAACTGTAATGCGCAAGACTACATGATTTTATGTTATGAAGGGCGATTGATATGTAAAATCAGCCTCAGACAACGAATTTCAGCAAGCAGCAACACAATCACTCACAAGGACAAGTTGATTATGGACTTTTCTAGTTTTCTTTCCATTAGAACAAACAGCATGTGTGCCTACAGGTGGCCATTTTGATTTAATTTTGACAGCATCTCGGACAGGTCTATGAACCTTAGAACCTCCAATATTTTGAAACTATAAGTCTCGACTGTTTCGAGTATTAAAAATTATAGGGAACAAATTACAGTGGTAATGGAAGATAGTTCATCTGATTGTAGCTCGAGCGAAAGAGCTACCGCAGAAGTAATTGACGGAAACGGGGCATTTTCAAAAAAATGCAGAAAGTTTCTCGAAAAAAAACTTTTTCTCAACATTGCTTGTCTGATTCCAACTTCAAAGGATAGATAAGACCTGTCGCGAATGATCGTTCAAGAGCTCAGTGTGACAATACGTACGTGAACAAATTGATATTTATTTTTACTTTTCATAATCATTATTTCAAACTAAGAAATATTTGGTAGAGACGACAGCTTTTAAACATTAACTGCTGTAAATTTAAAAAATTACAGCTGTTTCAACCTATTGGGTTGGTCGCGACTGGCCAGTTGAAGAAAGAACTTCGACACCACTATGTAATTTCTGTTTGGGAGGTTGCAGTCAATTTTGAGGATGCCAGGGAGTAAGAAATACTCTTTGATCTTACGTCAAGCTTTCGGAAATGTTTATTTCCTTCTTCCGGACTTACTAAAAAATTGTAAACAAATTAACAACACAGTTACAATTTCATAGATTGGATGAGACTACCTACTTACTATCGTGAGTTTGAGAGAAACTAGTTCCTTCATAACAATTGATACTTGTTGATCATCTGCTTATGCAGACCAAACAGTATAAAATTTATACTGTTTGTTCTGCATTACTAAATCTACATTTAATGTAGATTTAATTTAGATTTCAATCTTCATTTAATTGTAGATTGAAATCTCAATTGTACAATAGCATGGTTCAATTGATTAACCTAAAACAAATATTCTCAATTGGAAAATATCCTTGGGTCATCAGCAGACCAGAAGTGTACTCTTATAACACAAGTTATTTCACCTTAGTAAAATCTATGCCTTACTACTAGATATTGATAAAAATTTACATGATTTTCAAACCAGAAATTATACTGGATTTTCATTAATATAATTCATAACATTTTACAATATTTGTGGTTGATTGTAAGACATAGGCTTATGGTATGAGAAATAAGATACATGTATGTTTTCAAATGAAAATTAAAAAGATCTAGAAAAAACTGCATCGATTGTTGTTCCATGTCTTGTGGTAGGCTCATTTCGGTTATTATTCATTTTTAGTTCTAATTTATCTTGTAGGAAGTTTATCAAGAGCTGTCCAGCTTCGGACGCAAAAACTCCTGTTCCTGCTAAAATTAGTGGCAACGTATGATAGTTTGTTCCCAATTCTTCAGAGCCTACTTGACCATAAATGTGTGCTCGCACACAGTGATATACGAAACTTTACTCTCTCTCTCTCTTTCAGTCTCCACCAACCTATACTTCCCTCTCAACTTCCGTTCGCTTCGCCCTATCACACTTTTCGTTACGCTCTCGTAAATCATTCACCAGCCTACTTATTATGAAACGCTTTGAAAGTTTCATTCTGTTTGGTTTAAATATTACAATCGATTTGAAAAGGAGTTACCGATGAGCTAAAGGGACTAACAACTTGAAACATAGCTTAGAATTGGATAAAATGCTGCTAGTTGATTTTAGCTGGGATGTCCTTGTAACTTGATTCCTGTTTTCTCAGTAACATTGCACACGGATTTTTCATTTATTACATTACCCGGCATGGCATTAGAAAGGGAAGATGTTTGCCATAATGGCCTACATGAGGACTAGAAATGGGTAAAACATCGATCGGCAACGACAATCGTTTCTAATAGATTTCCCAAAAGATATATAAGCTTGGTGCCAGTGTATGATTATAATGATAATTTACACTTTGATAATATTAATATAAAAAATTGGAATGAGTGTAAAAGAGTTAGCAATTTTTTGTAACTATTGTATTGCATTGCAACTGATATCTGGACTGTTGTCAGTTATTTCAACGACAGCTCTCGCTACACCCATACTGCATGTATCCCACGTTTGTCGTTATAAATATTACTAGTACTCTCGAAGCTATTGTGATCACATATTATCTGTATGGATTTGAGTCTATATATTTGACACAAGGAGCAATTATTTTACTTTGTATAGTATTTAATGCAAGAATATTCGATATATGATTTTTTAATAAATCTTCCATTGCGTTTCAAAAATACTTCAATGACTCTATATAAAAAAAAAGGTGATAAATTTTTTTTTAATGTAACTACAAAATATTACTTTTACATATTCAATAAATCGACCCTGTTTGCTGCAGAACTTGCATGTGGCATACATAAGATTGCATACAGAAAATAACATGGTAAAGAATAATCAACAAATTAATTAATGTTCATATCAGAATTATAATACTTAAACTATAAATATTAAGGTTGTATACAAGCAAATGTTGCAAATTCATTTGCTTTTTTTATTTTTTTATTCGTTTTCCCACATTCCAACTGTCGGTTCATAAACTTAAATGTCCGAACTCGCACAAACAACGATAACAAGTAATCCATTGGAAAATCCTCACAAGGATGAAGAAATATGATTGTTGAACATTGCTCTTTTATAATTTTTTCAACATTTTGCATCACCGAATGTTGTGGGAAGAGGTGACCGAAATGATTCTATTACGAATCAATAAACTCAACAAAAGATGTATGAAGACACTGTAAATTTCAAATGTATCCTGGTTAGAATTTGGTTATGCACTGAGATGGAATAGATATTTTCCAAATTTTAAACATAAAATATATATTGAAATATTTCAGGTGAAGTCGGCCTGATAAGCCAAAAGCGGTAAATAACATGAAAAATAGTTGCCGTTTATAGGTAGAGTTATTCATTACGCATCCAAAAACTTTCTGCTACGACTCGATCATGCGCGCTGTGATTTATTACCAAAAAGTAGTGATAGTCGGACTACTGCTTCTTTCTGCATTATCTACTACTGATTATCCAAATATAGCTTATGATATATTCATTAATAAAATAATGAATCTGATAAATATTTTATTCAAGCCAAAAAAAATTAATACTAAAAATGAAGACACAAAAAACTGGACGACTAAGGGCATTAGAATATCATGTAAAAATAAAAAGAAACTCTATCAAAAGAAATTAAAACAACTTATATCAAATGAACAATACCGACAATACTGCAAAATACTAAAAAATGTTATCAAGAAGTCGAAGGTAATATCTGACAATCAATATATTTCAAATGCTTCAAATAAAGGAAAGGCAACATGGTCACTAGTTAAAAAATACA